AGACTATCAGCTGAGACTAGGAAAATACACATTTTTGAAGGGAAGAGAGACACGCTTTATAGATGTAGAAATATACAAATAAAACCACATTTAACCCCAGGTTTTCTGTCATGTTGCAGACTGTGACATGGCTAGGTTTAGATCTGCCTCACATGCATGTACAGGCATCCCAGTCTAGGTTGGGGGTGTTCCCAGGACATAAGAGAAGACCTGGAGCACCCCGCAAGGTCTGTTCAGGCAGTCAGCAGCCTACCCCAGATGCACACAGTCAACTGGAGGAGATAAAGACAGGTTGGTTGGTGATGCCACAGCCACCCTTTCTGGTTCCGCACAGATAGCTATCAAGTTGCAAAACACACGTTCCCTATCCCATTCTTCTCCTTTGTCTGCATGAAGCAACGCAAAACCACATGCAGGCTTTCATTGTCAATATAAGCCATACTATTCTTGTAATTCAATCCAGGTCCACAGCCTGAGAGCTCCTTTTCCTCCCTTCCCCCTTTCCCCCTCTTTGCTCCCCTCACCACTTGCCTCTCTCCAACCTTGTTTAGGTTTACATGCTGTGTCATTAAATTCCAGAACAGTAAACACTGCAGTCTCTCTAAGTACCCACACACTGCTTTCTAGGTTGAAAATTAGACATGGGGTTAATTTCATTCCTGCAAGGACTCTGCCTTTTATTTTTCTTTACGTCCAACTCAAAGGATGCTTTTGGCAGATGCATAGTGGGAAAAAAAAATAATGTTTGCTCTCTGCTTCCTCCCTACACTCCCCCCTTCTCCACTCCCACCCATCAGCCATAAAACAACACAGCCCAGCCAGATCCCAAACTGAAAGCAAGACAAAGCACCCACACAGCCCCCAGTTCCATTCAGCAGAAATGGGCCGCTCTGGGGTAGCCCAGGATCTACAAGTAGGCCAGACAGAAATAAACAGAGTAAACAAAGAGTATCCTGTCCAAGCAGAGAGAAGCTAAAGAGAGTGATGTCTTTCATTAACATGCAAGGCAGGGATGCAAGCACACAGACAGTCAAAGGCATCACTGGAGCTTGCTAGGAGTACAGGAGGAAAGCAACACATGATCGTGCTTTTACAAGGACCCAAAGCACACCACCCGACCGTACACTGGGCACAATTACATATCTCGCCTACCAAGGACCACAACAAGGCAGCCACCCACACCCCCACCACCACCCCAAAACCTCAGAGAGGCCGGCCCCAAGCCTGCTGCAGCACAGCGTGGCTCTCCAGAAGGCCGGGTAGGGAGCAGCACACACAGGTACGGGCAACCAGGGCTGTGTAAATGTCAGAGCCTACGACATTTAAAAACAGTGTAGCTGTCTTTTTAGGAAAGAAATGGGAAAGAGAGAGAAAAGCACAGCACAGCCATAGCAACAGGTCAAGTGTTTGCTGCAGGTCTTGAGGAGAAAGGGTGATGCAGCGCGTGTGCCTTCTCCGTTTTCAGAGCATTTGTCACATAATGAAATCATTAGCCTGGGAATGGATAGGAAATTTTGGTTTAGTTTTTCTGGAACAAGCTGCTCTGAAGTCCATGCAGATCCATGTGTGAAAGTCCATGGTGTGTATACCCTTGTGTCTCCCATAACACAGCCATCACAAACAACCCTCACATTCTTCCAGACTTGTAGGAAAAATGCAGTAAATGGAGAGGTGGAGGAAGAGTCAGGAGTTTGTAGCAAAACAGCAGCCTGTCGGCTGCAAGTCTGCTCAGTTATTGGAAAAAATTGAACATGCTGCTTTTTTTAAATAGCCTAATCATATTTACTATTACATCAGACTTGCCCACCACAAATTGTTCTCATACAATGGAAGAATTTTTAATCTAATATCTTGGACTCAGATAATTTCCCAGCTGCAGAACTGCAATAATTTCCCATCTTCTCATTATTGAGATAGGCCGACTAACTTGGATATGTTTTAGTTTCAGAGTGAGATTATCTCCCTTTATTGTACTTGAGAGAGAAAGGGTGACTTACAGTAAAATAACTTTGTTTTCCCCAAGTCAGCTCTTAAAGTCTGCTTCTCTGTGATGGAGATAGGTCTTTGCTGTTGCATTTCCCTTAGCCCCTTAACTTTCCACACTTCCTCTTCCTCTCTCAGAACACTATACTGACAGCAACTCCTATTTTACTCAAAGAAAATATACTGTTCAAGAAATCCCTAAAATAATTCCTTAAAAAAAAAAGTCTCATGGACAAAACATTTTCTTGTTTAAAATACCTTTGAAAGTTTATTAAATACCCCACAACCCAGTACTACTGGTCAAATCTTGCCTGCTTTGTTCATTTGTTTTCAGGCATATTTACAGAAGAACAATTGCAAGGAAAAAAAAAGGATGATAAGACCTGAAGCTCTGTTCACATGTACAGTAGAGCAAAACAGGAAAACTCCATTTATTTCAGTAGAAGTGATTTACACCCAAGTAAGGGAGAAGACAAGCAAATCCTTGAATTTATGCCATTACAAATTGAAAAATGCCGCTTACTCCCACAATTTTCTTGAGAGCTTTTGATATTTAATGGTTTTTTCTTAAATTCTCAGGTCCTAGATTTACTCTACTATGTCAAAGGAACACCCTCTCCTTTTTATTTGTTTTTAGAGTTTCTAGCAATCATTTTCTAGGAGAAAAGCCAGAAACCATGAGACGAGGGCACTTTTGGACTGCAAGGCTATATATGTTGCAGTCATTCACTTTTAGATCTCACTGGTGTTCAGGGCTTTTCAACCTGTGTTACTTTGCAGACACAAATTCGACATTGGAAATGTATGAATTACACATATGCAGATTGCCATACAGCACATATCAATTCATTCCTCTTAGTCACCATTCATTAATTCCTTTGAAATAAATGTTCATGGGTTGAAAAGCACTAGTCTGATGATTTAGTGGGAGTGTGGCTCATGTGTTTTTCCTGCACAACATTAGCAATACTAAGAAAGAGCTAGCCTATTTAAAAGGAAGCCTGTCTAAAAAGCTAGTTCAGTGGAAAGACATGGTTGCATAAACAAGGAAGTGCAAGAACTTCTTAACATTATAGATGTAAGAAAAAAAAAAAAGGAATAAACCTTTTGCTACTTTCTATTAAAAAAAAATTAAATCCAGCCCTAACAAGCCACTGCTCATGCACAGTTGTGCTGCTTGCAGCTAAACCCCTAAAATCACCCCTATTCCCAGGACGGTGATGGGTAACCTCTGGTTCCCCCCTGCTGGGAAAGGGAAAGTGGATGATGTCCTCTACTGACTGCAGTGAGAGCACTTCTGTCCCTGAAAATGCTCTCATAGAGAACAGCCTGCAGTATAAAAGCAGTGCTCCCATTACTGGCGCGTTGCTATGGGCACTATTCTAAGAAAGCAGCCACAGGAGCAGATCCAGAAAAAATGGCAAAATATATGAGGGAAGAAAGAAAAATTGCAGAGCCTGGACTCATCCCTGCCTGTTTCTACTGGCAGTGATAGGATGGTAAGGAAGATGGATGGTGAAATGTCACAGTGTTGGACATACAGCCTGGCAGTGCTTATGGCTTTGCATCACTCGACTCTGTTTCAAAACCCTATCTGGAATTGTTATTTCTTGGTATCCCAAGATATAATTTCTCAGCTACCTTTATTTTATTTTTCTTCCTAAAAGTTAGGAAAATCAAGTTTGTCTTTTTTTCAGTAGCCTGCTTTAAGTTAATTTAATGAATGCTATTCTGGTAATGAAATTTGCCTAACAGATCATATGATCATTTTGGATCCTAGTTCCCAGAAACTTGCCACTTGTACACTGGCACAGGGCAAGCCTATCTACAATGTATCAAAATAATTTCATCTCTAGGCACCTTTACCTACATCAAGTGTTAGCAGGTGACTAATGATGAGTGGATTTCACCACCAAGGAGCTACAGAATGAGTAGCTTTATGCCACCCAGATGAACTGAAACCAGAAGAGTGAAGGTGAACTGGTCTGTATTCCACACCACCAGCAACCCTTGTAAGTTAAAGTCACCCTGCCAATTCCAGTTCAAATTAATCTAGAGCGGATTAAGTCTACCTTTTATGCTATTTTCTAAATGAAATGTAGATGTACATTTCTAGATGTACATGCAAAAGCGGTATTTAAAAGGGTTTTATCTAATAATGAGTCAGATATTGACAGAACAATCACCATGAAGTCCAAGGTAAGAAGCAATATATTCCCATTAATAATTCAAATCTCAGCATGGGTATTGATGACCATGCACTTAAAAGAGAAAACTGGGCAGCAGCTGGAATTGGCCCAGATTTCCTGAAAAGTTGTTGGACTGCAACAGAGACACACTAGAGAGATTTTACTGTAAGATCCAAACAGAGAAATGGCAGCTCCTCATTATTAAGATATGTTGGACCCTCAGCAACATTACTGAAATTGAGCAAGGAACAAAATGTAGCATCAGCAGGCTACTGAAAGAAAATGGGTGAGAATAAGGGAACGAAATCTGGAGGGAGAACCCCAGTACATCCCCTTCTCCCAGTTCCAGTATTTGGGGCACAGAGCAACAGCATTCTGCAGTATCTAACTCCAGTTACTGCTTAGGAGCAAGCAACATTAAAAGCTTTAAAATAAATGTATACAATCAGCAAAAGTACAAACAAACAGAAAGGTCATAGGAGCCAAAACCACTCAGAACAAACCAGTTGGGGCTAGTTAACATAATCTGCTCTATTCACATAACTTAGTTTCACTGAGGGCATGAACTTCCATGAAAAAGCTCAAGTAATTAACTGCAGAAGCTTACACATTTTCTTTCCCTCAAGTTTACTTTACCCTGAAATTAAAGCTGCTTGCACACAACTGCTTCTACCAATTCATTCAAAAAGCTGAGTTTTGCTTGTCCTTTCCAGAGGGAAATGCTGGAAGAGATGGTATCACTGAAGTGTAGGATTCCTTTCAATTCCTTCTACCTCCTGTCCACTCTTCCCATCACTTTGGATCGATACAAAGGAAAACATACTCTACCTCACTGAAAAAGAGCAGATTTCCAATGAAAGGAAGAGGCGGAGGATGTCGGATCCCGACTCTGCTTAGTTTGGAGAATGCAGATGTGGAGTACCTGGGGAAAAAAAAAAAAACGTAGTAAGTTAATTTTTGATCTTTTCATGATAGGACTTGCCACAGTAACAAGTTCAGATGACTTCCCTAGATTCAGGAGGGAGAAGATGCTTTCTGTATCGGCTAAACAGAACTGCCAATGAGATGACATTGCTCAGCAGCTCCTCAGGTCACAGAAATAAATGCAATACACTGGTGCTTCAGAGAGGGCAAAAGAACCAAGGGACTCAAACACAGGCCTGCAAATTGAGCAGTGGAATTAGAGAACTGCTCCTCTTCCCACAGAAGGTCTTATAAGTCAGAAGTGACTCTCCGAAGCTACGTGAGGTTACAAACGAGATCAAAAGAAGCATTTGGGGTTTGACTTCTGTGGCACAGCTGGGAAAGGAATAAGACAGATTTTCAGACTATTATTTTCTTCTTCAATCACCTCTACCTATATAGATCACAGAACAAGAATTCAAACTAGTCTCTGTTGTCCATGAGCCAAGACAGTGTCAGTACGTTCAAGTCAAGCCTAGTATTTGGGCCAGATATGCTGATTAAGTGATTTTTAGAGCTGCCAGTCAGCAAATTAAACAAATATAAAAAATACGGGGAAACAAAACCCAGACTGAAAAGCTTCATGCATCCCTTGTTTCAGATGAAACTGTGGCACATTGACAGGGACAATACTGGAAAAAAAGGGAAAAAATAAAACCCAACCCCAGAGCCTTTTTTTTCCCCCTCCCCTCCCCCTTTCTTAATACAAACAATGGATTTAAGTCAATGGACTTCAATTAGTGAACCTGAAAGAGCAGGAGCTAACAGCAGCAGCTTTGATTACCAAAAGACACAGTAATACTAAATACTATCATGCTGAACACCATCACTGGGAGGACCTGGGCAAAAGATCTTTAAGATTATTAAAGGCTATTATGTCTATATTAACACCTTATATCAGAGCATTGGTATAGTTTTAAAGCTCTCCCTCTACATGATGGTTCTGTGCCCAGGGCAGTTTTGGCACATGAAACCACGCTTTTGTGAGAGGAAACTGAACTCAAAGCTCTGTTCCAATCCTTCACCTTTTATCAGGGCAGTAATAAGCAGTCATTCAGCTTGAATCCCAAGTGCAGTGAGACTGCTTAGACCTGGCGAGCAAATTAAATCTAATGCAAAATAAAAACTGTGAACTGCATATAGTGTAGGTGTTGCAACACCAACTGCTTTAGTCTCTTGAGTCCGCAGGCCATCTTAATGACATAAGAGAGACACAGAAGAAGCCGTGCTCTCAGATCCCAATGGGCTGGCTCCCTCTTAATCCCACTGTACAGCCTTGGTGACTGTAGATTATGCTAAAGCATTGCTATGACTTGGACATCTCCTTCAGTTCCAGTAATCAACATATGCCTCATTTCAAATGACCTTACATGATGCAGGCAGGTTTAACCTAATGGGCAAACAGCACACAATTCCTGGGGTTCAGTGAAGAGGTAGGAGAAAAAAGAAGAGCTGGTGTTAGACAATGATCCTTTCCTCCAGCAAGAGGGAAAGGAAAGAATAGTGTTGTGAAGTCAAATATATAAGATAAAGAGAATTAGATCTCATGTGATCAGCTAAGCAAAATGGGACTTAAACATCGAGTTAGTAGCTTTTGGTACTTCCATTTCCAGAGATTTCCAGGAGCACAGTACCCATTGTCTTAATGGGTTTTCTTTTGTGAAGATATTTTACAAAAATCATAACCAGAAGATAGGGATTTGATCATTTTTAAATAGCAACTTTTTTTTTTTTAATGGGGCAGTACAAGCCTCCAAAAACACAAACCCTCTCAATAGAAATGATGTGTCTCAAGCCTCTGCAAGGACACTATTTCAAGTATGACAGGGTATCATGGAGTAAAGGCACAGAAGTCAACATTTATTACACATTTTATACATAGTATTGACTTCTTGGCTACTTAACTGCTTTAAAAAATATGAGGTTTTCCTCAGCTAATACTCTTGGGAAAAGAAATGTTTTAACTTTAAAATGACAAAACAGCCTACATGATACGTCTTCTTCCCCAAAGAGAGGATTTTTTTTTTTTGCTGCTGTTTGAGATCTTCCTAAAGTGTCTTTGTGTCATAGCAAAGTCCTCATCTTCAGTATGTAAACAGTGAAAAAGATGAAAATCCCTGTCAATGGAAACCCATCAATTTTGCAGGATTCTATTTTTATGTTTTCAGTGTAAAATACATGGCAGATCACAAAACACCAGCCTGGGCTACTGTTAACTGCTCATTTCACTAAAGACCAGACACACTGTAGACTCCTGGTTTTCATGTACAGCAAAGGGAAGAGTGACTGCAACAGAGGCTTACACTAGACAAAGTAAACTGTGTGATCACCAAATATTTAAAAAGGAACAAAACTAATGAGTACAGTGTGCCCAGTTTCACAAGGCAAGAAACACACAGACTGTGAAGACTATTTATGCTTAGATGAGTAGTTCATCATTGTCAGCTTCTGAACATTACTGGCAGCTCCACATAGCTGAGAATTTGCTTTCCTTTCCCCCCTCCTAACATGGTTGTCTCCATTGCTTTTTATTCAGTTACGTTTGAAGTAGGTTTTCGAAAGGTAAGGAACCACAGTTTACAATGAGATGGGAGAAAGAAGCCCCGTAGTCAAGCTACACACTGAAATATAACAACGAAAGGGTGAGCCCAGCTGGAGGGGAAAAAGAAATAAAAAAAGAATCTCACCAATAAACACATGCAGCTCTAGCCTATGATTTCACAATATTTCTGGTATTGTTGAAATACCTGCAGTTTTACAGAAAAGAAAAGAGTATGCAAGTGACCAAAGACTGATGGGGCTGCATGTACCAAAGAAGGATCTAACACTGCACAGGTAACCTTGCCTTTGATAATTTCTAATGGAATAGCTTACACTCTGCAACTCTAAATATTTAGAGCTTCCCCCCATCTCTGCAATATTTCAGTTCATTCCCACTGTTTTGGGTGGGGGAGAGAGAGGAAGTAATAGCTTGTGAGCTTCTTTAAAGAAAAAAAAAATAGTCCTGTATAACACACAGTGAACACCAGCAATACGTGAATCTGACAGCTTTGTGGCACAACCCTTTGCCTTTTCAGCAGAAGGGATGGATAACTTGAACCAGCTGATTTATGTGATTCGGTTACTCAGCACCCCCATGAACTCAGTGCACTGGGAAAACAGCATCCAGGTTTTGTTGCTGGGAAGGGGAGGTGGGCTAGAAGCTGGACAAGTGCAAACAGGCAGGGTTGCCTTGTAGGCAAAGACACTTGTCTGGACATCTAAATGAAACAGTTCCAAGCCTGCCTTATCACCAGCGGGAAGTCTTACTTCTCACTCTGCCACTTAACACTCTTCTACATTATTTTATCACAAAAATTAATCTGATATCAGGCAACCTCCTGCTGTTGCTGTGGGCACACACTAAGCGTAGAAGATCAGCCAACGAACTATAAAGGATAAATCAAATGCAAAATCTAGAAATAGAAGAGATACTGAGAGGTGATGATGGAGATGACCAAAGATACGGAACAATTTCTGTACAAGGAATAAGCAAACAGGCTACAATCTTAATCATGGAAAAAAGAAGCAACTGATGCATGCTATGACAAATATTTTTAAGATCCTGCACATCTTACGAAATAAATTAAGAATTATTACCCATCGACTAAAAAATTAATCATAAAATCCACAAATGAATTTTCAGGTGGTAGGATTAAAAATTAAGCATTTTCCCAAGAAATAAATATACTAACTATTGAACTCCTTGCCATGGAATGTTGTCTACTCCAGAAGTTTAAAAAGCTTCAAAAAGTGAATAAATAAATTAATGAAGGGGGGGGGGGAAATCAGCAGGCACTTTTAGCTAGTAAATTTAACACATGTAAGAGAAACACATGGAAAAGATGAAAGGAAAAGAGGGAAAATTAATCAAATTTATTTTCCTAATCAAGGGAACGAGTCTGTAAGCTTCTACTGGCAGAATAAGAGATTAGACTGTTATAAAACCTAAAAGATAAAACCTCAGACACTTCAGCTTCCTTAAGAGGAAGATAGGAAGGAGTCTTTATGTAAAGTGAGAGGCATGAAAAAGATAACACTCTGATGGCAGCAATATTTACTGGACAATCTAGCACACTCTCACTCAAAGGAAAAACATACCCTAATATTTACACATGTAGGGCTTCCTGCACAACTATTAATTTAAAAGCTTGGCATTATATTTTGAACAAAGTGACAAGACATCAAAAGGAACCAGAGGAACAGCAGTAATGAAGTAGATCGATGAACAATTCAATAACCCTTTGAAGATGTTCAGATGGCCTCTCAGAGCTAGATGCTCTCTGCATATATTAAACACAACTGTTAAAAGAAAGTTAACATGCCAAATACATTCCTGTACAACAGCATGGCAGATATAAGTTCTCTGAAATACTAACTTCACAAAACACCATGCAAAAAAATAAGGAGAAACAGATAATTAATACAAATTGTGATGAATATATAATCAACCAAACTAGCCATCTGCCCAGCCAGGTCAGTACTGATCAGTACTGCAAGGAAAAGTATTACACAATCTGCCATCAATTTGTGTAGCAGATAACATTACAGAGCTTCCAATTCTGCATCATAGAGTTCAACTTACCATTTAAATTACCCCAAATTTCTCTCAATAGAAAAAGTGTGTCATTCCTTCTACGTGTAAGCAATGCACAACCTAATAATATCTGAAAACTATAAACTAGGACACTGAGATAAAAAAAGTGATGTTATTTAATCTCAGGGTTGGGAAGTACATTATTTTGCAAGGTTGAGTGGGAAAACAAAGTATTTTGCTGACATAATGCCTGCCAAACAAGAAATAATCACCATGCATTTTTACCTCTTTGTCTGTATTTACATATACCCACACCAGATTCCAGTTAACACTGGGATGCATTTTGCTCACAGAGTAGAGATAATATACAAAATAATGGTAGC